CCTCTCTCCTCTCTCCTCTCTCCTCTCTCCTCTCTCCTCTCTCCTCTCTCCCCTCTCCCCTGCCCCCTCTCCCTCTCCGTCTCTGTCTCTCTTTCTGTGTGTGTGTTCAGAGCCCTTCAAACTGGCCTTGTTTTGATTTGAGAGCTTCCTCTCAGTGACACTGACCCCGACCCCTTGCCCTCACTGTCTCGGGCACAGCGGTTCTCTGATCATCTCATTTGACAGCTTGGCCTGCCTTGCAGCCATCAATCACCCTTGCCTCCTCACTGGACAGAGTTGGTGTCCCATATATGACCATGGGTGACCAAAACACAAAGAACACCTTGTCTTTGGTCAGTGTGTGGCTACTTGCTCATAGGTATTAGTAACTGCCTTTTCATAAACCTATGTGCACATACAACAGCAGTTGCCATGTGTCATTTTAGAAGGCTTAAAAGAGGGGTTTTTTGTGAGGGGAGGGAGCTGGGCAGTTGTGGCGCACTCCTTTAATCCCAGCACTTGGAAGCAGAGGCAGGCAGATCTCAGTGAGTCTGAGACCAGCCTGGTCTACAGAGTGAATTCCAGGACAGCCAGAGCTACACAGAGACACCCTGTCTCAAAAACCAACAAAACCCAAAAAAAAAAAAGAACATTTCTTTTTAAAATGTGAACCAGATGGACAAGGTGGTGCACACCTTTAATCTCAGCCCTCAGGAGCAGAGGCAGGAGGATTGTTGTGAGTTTAGGTCAGCCTGCTCTATACAGTGAGTTCTAGGCCAGTCAGGGCTACAAAATCAGTCTCTCTCTCTCTCTCTCTCTCTCTCTCTCTCTCTCTCTCTCTCTCTCTCTCTCTGCAACACCAAAGGAGTTTAAACTGTTAATGTTTAAGATATCTGTTATGGTGTTATTAAACTCTAACCATTTAATAAACAGTGGCTGCTAATTCAACAAAAGAAATAGGTATTTTTTTTTTCCTCTTTTGGGGACAGTGCTTTGAGGCACTCAGAATGGTCCAGTGTTTGACATGCTGTCGTGGGCTTTTCTACAAGACAGCCTCTAACAAAGCTAGGCTATCTCAAACCCCTGGTAATAGGATTCTTTACCTTTATACCAAAAAGGTTGGGAAAGCACCCCGGTCCACAGGCTGTGTGCGGCCAGGCAGACTCCCAGCGTTCATGTCATAAGACCTAATGTCCTGATTATATTGTCTAAAATAAAGAGGCAGTCATCAGCGCCTACTGTGGCCCCGTGTGTCCTAAGGGTATCGGTTACAGGACAAGGTGTGCTTTCTTACTGGGCAGGAAATGGTTATGAAAGTGTTGAAGGCACAAACTCAGAATCGGCTTTTTGTAAGTTAAGAAAAACTGAACAGGGTGGGGTGTCGTGGGGGTGGGGAGGGGTGGGTGCTTGTGACTTATGGCCACTGGAAAGGTGAACTGTGGCATCTGTAGAACTCCACTGACGGCCTCATCCGCACACTGAGCTCAGCTCCTTAGTCTCCCACTCACTCCTGTTGAGTTAGTGCCTCGCCGGTCAAGTGTTGGATATTAAAGTGGATGAACAGCTGGTGAAGTGACTGAGTGATTAAAGCCACTTGCCCCCAGGTCTGGCCACCTGAGTTTGAGCTTTCGGACCCACAGGGCAGAAGGAGAAAACCCATTTCCTCAAGTTGTGCTCTGACTGCCACATGCGCACTGGTGCCTGCACCCCCCCCCCCACGCACACACAAATTAATAAATAGAACTTGAAAAATGAACGGACCAGAACTCATGTCGGCATTGTGTTTCCGCTGACAGTAAAATCGATGCCTAAAATTTACCCCACCTCCAAGTTCCTCTTTATAAACGTCTTTGAGATGATTGGACATCTAAGAAACCTTGACTAGGATCTTTAAAATTCTGATATCAGCACCCATGTGCAAAGGGGGTATGTTTTCCCAACGTGTATCTAAGGCCATGCTTACGTTTGCTTGACTCTGAGTGCTTGTTGAGAGTCAACTGGAATGGCTGTAAATGTAGCCGTGTAGCCTGGTCCTGTGCTGTGCCCAGTGGATAGTAGCTACACAGTGACTCCTAGTGCCTCTCTGCACGGACCATCAACCTGGAGCCAGGCCACGCTCATGCGAAATTAACACAGTGTTTCTTAAGGTAAGAAATAATGTAAAGCTTTGGAAAAGTTACACTAAGTTGGGGTAGTAGGCACCGAGCACCTGGTACCCTAATTATATCTTTTCTGACTCACAGCAGGCATCGCTATCTGATCAGGGGCCTTTGCCACAGAACCTGGCTTCAGCTGTGGAATCTTCTCAGCAAAAGATGTAATCATTCACCTCCTCCAGGCCAGGAGAAAGAGGCCGGGAGTCAAGAAACTCTTGTTTCAAGGAAAGGTTGCGGAGTTTTCGGGTGTGGTTAAATTCCACAGAACCTATGTTAACCCACGTCTGAAACAGAGACTGTGTTTCATAGAGCTATCCCATACAGTTATTAGGGGACAGAGAGGAATGAGGCAGTGTTGGGAGATTGAGCAGGACAAGGCTCTCCTGGGAGAGCAGTGAGAGCCCCATCACTCACAAAAAGCCCAAAGACCCACCTCTGCCTGCAAGGAAGTTCTGCTAAGGCATGCTTAAGACAGATACAATCTGGGCTGGGTTTGAAAGTTCTGTGGGTTTGTTTGGTTTGCTTTTTGAAACAGAGTCCTGGCTTGTGAACCATGCTGGCCTCACACTCGCTGTTGTCCTCTTGCCTCACAAGGACTTTTCTTGGGCCAGTGAGGTGGCTCAACAGGTAAAGGTGCTTGCTGTACAAATGTGAGAGCCGTAGTTCAGTCCCCAGAACTCAGTGGTAGTATGACGACCAGGGCTATGCCGTACCTTGCCCTCCGTTCAATTAAAATAAATAATTAAAAATAAAAAGTGAATGCAGTAACATTTAAAAAGGGTTTTCTTCTTACAAATAAGGAAGAAAAAAGGAGAAGAGAAAGCACAATGAGAGAAGGGGAAGAAGGAAACACAGCCTGGAGGCAGAGACACCCGGGTAAGGGCTACAGTCCGGTTAGGCCTCTTGCTCAATCTACATGGAGTTTGCAGTGGGTTCTAGGCTTCTGTAGGCTCCACAGTCTCACTCACCTGGGAGGACACCCACCGTCAGGGTTCCTGGAGGTATAACATGACTTCAAGTTTATAAGGACCAGTGCCAAGCTGGACACATAGGAAGGGTTTAGCGAACTCAGCAACTTGTCCCTGCCCAGCCTCACAACGGTAGGAAGTGAATTTCTCATCCATTTATCCATCCTTTCAGCTCCCCTAAGCATCCTCACTTTGTGCTGAGCAGGAGAGGGTATGGGTTGATAGTAAACACTGTTTTGATCTAGGACCATCAGGAGGCCAAAGACGGCCGTTTTGCACAGTGTGAATGGGGGCCTCCCTCATCTTTCAGACTTCTCCCACAGATTAACCCCCTTCGCTTTCGAAGGCACCTTTCCAGACAACCCGGACATCCACCCCAGAGGAACAGGTAGGCCTCCCTAGTGCACGGTGGGTGCGGGCTCACAGAAGGAGCACGGGGAATGTTTGCCGGCTCTGTGTGCCCTGTACTGAGGCTGGAGCAGGAAGAGAGGAGTCCTGCTTTTCCTAAAGAAGTAACTTGGATGCCACCAGTTCTAGAGTATCCTGACTGGTTCTTCTCTGCAAGTCCTGAGAGTCCTTATGAGTGCCGGCTCCACGTGCTCTTATTGGGTGAACCCCAATAGTGCACACACCCTCTTTGTGACACTTTTCAGACTGGGACCTGAAATATAATCACTCTCATGTGTTGGCTTAGTCCCTCACCATCCCTGCTTGCCCCAAATGGGGCTCCAGGCACCGACTCAGAGCCCTTTGTGCCACAATCTTCTGCCTCCAGGACATTCTCACTGACCTTAGCTTTCTCAGTTTTCATGCTGGGGTCGTGGTAGCCCTGTATTTACTTTAGGAACAATGGCCCAGTGTTGGGTAACTCAGTGCTTGCAATGACTTTGTAACTTCTTTGACTGGTGAACATTGACTGCATTTAATCCCCAGTCAGGCTCCTAACAGGTCCACAGATCCCAGGATTTTCACGGAGACAGCCCACACTTACAACTGAAAACTTATTCAGAATATTGTGAGGTGTTCTTTGCTTGGCAAGTTTTAAAAACATTTGGAAAGGGAGGGCATGTGTGTACCCTGGCACATGTTGGAGGTCAACTTGTGCAAGTCAGTTCTCTCCTTCGAACATGTGAGTCCTGGGGAATCCAACCAAGGTCGTCAGATTGGGTATTTCCTTTTCCACTGAGTCATCCAGCCAGCCCCTATGTGGTGTTTTAAAAATAGCTCAATTTCAAAGTTCTATAGTGTGAACTACAGAGATGACAACATCATGTCACAATGGCCGAAGGATGGACATCACTCCCCGTCTGCCTTATGGTGGAGTGAGGGAGAGCTGCCCTCCCCATCCCCCACCGGTCACCGCCTGTAGTGGGTGGGGGAGCTGGTCCTGAAGTCATGGAAGTGGGAGACTGGCCTTGCCCCTCACCAGCTGCAGCACTCCAGGGAATGGGCTCCTCACCTTGCCTGGGCCGCACAGTAGAGCTGATCCTCTTGGGGGTGCAGAGCAGGAGGGCTGACCCCCCCATCTGCCATGTGGTGGCATGTATTAGGGAAAGATGCCCCCCATACCTCAGCCCTTGTCGCCTGCAGCAGGCAGGAGAGCTGGCCCTGGTGGCGTCGGTGCAGGTAAGCCAGTCTCAGGTGCGTGAGAGCAGAACCGGCCCTGTTCCTTGCTGCAGTGGGTGAGCTGGCCAGGGCAGTGCTGGAGACCTCGTCCTGGTGGTGTCAATGAGAGAAAGCTGGCAGGTTTGACCAATCCAGCTACCACCCATGTTGGTTGGAGGCTGCCTATTTGTTCCCGGATGCTCTGACCCAAAATAGCCACACAGAAACTGTATTAATTAAATCACTGCTTGGCCTATTGGCTCTAGCTTCTTAGTGGCTAGGTCTTACATCCTAAGCTAGCCCATCTCTGTTAATCTGTGTATCACCACATGGCTGTGGCTTATTGGGTGAAGTTCCATCCCCATTGTCCGTCTCCAGCGGGGTTACATGGTGTCTCCTGACTCTGCCTTCTTTCTCCGAGCATTCACTATAGTTTTTCCTACCTCTATTCTGTCCTATCATAGGCCCAAGAGTTTCATTATTAACCAATGGTATTCACAGCATATAGAGGGGAATTCCACATCACCTCCCCTTTTCTGTTTAAATAAAAAGGAAGGTTTAACTTTAACGTAGTAATTACATATCACAAAATAGTTATCAAGCAAGAATTAGTTACAATATTTATATATACTTTCTCTTTTATCATAACTAAGAAAAACTAACTATTCTTTAACTCCATCAGAGACTCCAGAAAGAACAAACAGGAAGTACATTGTAAGCAACTTCCAAAACTCTAGAATTGACAGAGACATCTTGCTTCCTGGACAGTCACCCAAAGTTCTGTAACACTAGAGCATCCATCTTCAGCCTACCTATAGGACCATAGTATCCAGCAGACTTTTCCACGAAGCAGGAAATTTCAAAGACAGTTCTGCCTATGTTGGCAGTTTGTCAGTCACTTTTTTCTGTGTCCTGCAAAATATCTAGCAGATTCTTTCATGAAGCAGAAACCCCGAAGCATCATCTCACTTTTAGGCAAGTTCAGCAGTCATTTATCTGTGGATCTTGCATGTCCAGTTCATACAGCATAGCATCAAGCAGTCCAAGCAAGGGCAGTTTCTTGTCCAAATAGCTTACAAACTCCATAAGGAGCCTCTTCAATGCCCATCTTCCTCTTGAAGTAGATTTGGGGTTTGTTAGGAGTACACATTGCTAAGCGTTCAGCATCTGCCAACTCTCTAGGGACAAGGCCCTGGGATCTGTTTACATAAACTCTCCAGGTGAAAACACCTTCCTGGAGAATCTAGCATAATGACATTTTGTGTCCACATGCTGATAATTCTGAGATGGAAGCACTTAAGAGCAAACCCTGGGAGCTCGCTCTGCCTTCTTCCCTTCTCCTAAAGCAGGATATAAATGTTCCTGCACCTCCTGTGCCCGGATGATTGCCCAAGGCCCAGAGCTGGAGAGTTGGTCTTTGGATACGTTTGCACAAAGAACCGCAAACAATTCTTTCCCCGTGTGTTTCTCGTCTCTGTCCTACAATGTCCCACCTCTGGAGGCCAGTTTTCACATGTCTGGGGAGCCCCTTGTGGATGAAAACATTAACACTGATAAAGGGGAGGCCTTCTCTCCTGTCACATAACTTTTGTCAGCTTAATAGAGCCCCCCTCCTCCCCCGGCCACCAAACAACTAAATTAAGAAGAGTTTCCCTTTTCCTACACTCTGAAAGAGGGAAGGATTTCTCTTTGGGTTACAAAACTCTGCCCCGGGGTGGTGAACACAATCCCTCTGTTGCTCCTCCAAAGCCTTTCTTCGCTTTCTTGTTTGAAAAAGCAGATCTGAGATAGCTTAACGAGGCACACATAATACGAGATTAAAAAAAACAAACAGCGGCCAGTGAGGCGGCTAACTGTAAAGGTGCCTGCCCCAGCAAGCGTGGGTTCTATCCCTGGGACCAACAAAAGGTGGAGAGAACTGACTTCGCTGCTGTCTGTTGTTGCTTGTCCAACCTCCACACACCTGTTGGCTGCACCCTCCATGAAGGTCTCTAAAAATAAAACAATGAAAAACAAAGCCCTAAGATTTGCAAACTATTAATTTCAAACACTCTTCTTTGACAAGCTTCTTCCAGACTACAGTGTTGGAGCATAGGAAAACCTGCCGCTTACCCATGCTGGAAACACATCCAAAGGGCGGCTTATAAACTTAATGTCCTTTAATCCCAGCACCTGGGAGGCAGGGGTTAATGGATCTCTGTGAGTTGGAGGCCAGCCTGGTCTACAGAGCTAGTTACAGGACAGCCAAAGATATACCCAGTGAAACCCTGTCTCAAAACAAAAACAAAAAAGAAAAAGAAAAGTCAGATGAAGTAGCAACATTTGATCTAAAATTGATCACAAAGCAATATTAACGACTCGTCCTAGAGTAGCTCATCAATAAATTAGGGAGTTATCTATTTCCTAGTTAGTCAGCAACTCTGTTGTTAAAGACATCTCATGTTTCTGAAGAAGCTGTTTTCTTTGATTGGGGTGGGAATGGCCTCAAACTTACAGTGTAGTCAGAACTGGGTTGAATTTGTCACCTTTTCCTCCCGAATGCTAGTAACTGTCTCAGTCCACAGCCAGGCCTTGGCTCTAGAGGGTTCTTTAACCGTGTGTGAAATGACTTGTTGAGATGGGAGCCTTCTGCTTTCACCGTGTGTGAAATGACTTGTTGAGATGGGAGCCTTCTGCTTTCGTGGACTGTTTCTGGACGTCTGCGTCTTCTCAGTCTTGCTTCCGTCTCTTCCTTGTCCCCCTCCTCATCTTCATCTTCTAACTTTTGCTTGTGTGAGACAGGGCCTCTCTCTCCCAACCTGTCCTTGACTCAGGGTCCTCCTGAAGAGCAGCCTTCCAACTGCTGGGATTGCTGGTGTCATTTCTGTTTTGTTTTGTTTTTTCATTCTCTGACTTGAGAGGGAGGAAATGTATTGATCTGTCTTCAGATAATGTAATTTATAAAAGGATAGAAGAGACTGATAAACATTTGGTTGGGAAAAAAGCAGGCCAATAGAAGTGCAGAAGGTGAGTGGACGAGGAAAGATGAGTCGGTGGTGCGATCATCAAAGCACAGTTCATAAAGTGCTATGTAATTACTGACGTCAAGCTCGGAGCTGGCCTTGAGCTTTGGAGCAGAAGGCACAAGGAAGGGAACAAACCAATCATAAGATTTATTCTGTGCACAAATTAGAAACTCCCCAGAGATTTAGCTTGACATGTCTGACACATGTCCTGGGGGACCTGCAAGAGGGGACAGCTTAGTCAAGGTCTCCCCACTCTGGCTTTGGTATTTCCTCCTAGCCGATGTGTGGATGGATTTGATGTTCCATAGCTCTGGGGTTTTCAGGAACCCAAACTCTAGCGTCCTCCCATAGTCCATGGCAAGGGCACAGACAGTGTTGGAATCACCCTGCCTCTGAGCTGTAGGACCTGTTTTCTAAAGGGCATTTCCAATTATGATGGCCCTTTAGATAACTTGAGAAACATTACAAAATTATGATTACCTAGGCGCCACTCAGATTAACAGAACATAGACCATTAGTACGGGGTTCCGTTTAGTCTTAGGTACGGTGGGAATAGAAAAGTACTGACAGCCGGGTCCGGGACGGTCACCTTTGACCTTGGATCAGTCATCTGGTCAGAGCGCACTCTCCCTGCCCAGCATCTCAGGCTTAGGGATTCATGTTACAAACAAGAGCTCCAGGACTTTTCCACGCAGTGGATTCATAGACTGAGCTTACAGAGGGAAGATCTGGATTCCAATCTGCCCTGCTCCCGGCAGCCTGATCCAGGCTCTAGAGCGCTGTGGTTTGCTTTCTTGGCGAATGGTTGGAGAAACGATTAGCTGTACGAACATCTCAAGATGACTCATGGATTTTCGATCGGGTCCCAAATAGAGAACCACAGGTCAGGGGCTGGATCCCATTCATTGTTGCGTTTCCAGCTCGTTGATCAACGGGACACGTAGGAGACCGGAAACGACTCATTTGGGAAAGCAGACTGAAAAGGATTAAGTGCACTCGTGGCCACTAAGTATGAAGTTTTACTAAGGTGTGAGGGAAGGCCTGAAACCCAATGTGTCCTCATTCATATCCTCAAATCCTGGGTTCATTTTCTTCACACTGTCTTGATGAGCACAGTGACGTATTTGATCTAAGTGCACAGGACAGTCTTCGGCCTGTTTTCTGCTATCGTGTGTCAGAATGTGGGTGGGTTTACACATGATTTGGCTAGAAGATATTTAAACTAGCATAAAAACTTCTGTAGCAACCCAAGGTGTCAAACATCAGCAGACTGACCTATCTTTTATAACACACGTGGTTCTCAAGTAAACCTGTTGTAACACCATGGGATTAATTTTTTTAATATTTTATTTATTCCTTGAGAACTTCATTTATGCATATAATGTATTTCAATCATTCTCCTTTCTAACTCCTCCCAGATTCCCCCCTTGTGTATCCTTCCCTACATCATGTCTTATTCTAACTTTCTAAAAATTTTAGAGCCCGCTGAGTCCACCTGGTACTGTCCATGTGTGCAGGGGTGTGGGGCCGTCCATTTCAGGATGGGCAGCCTAGCAGAGACACACCGCTACAGAAAACCAACTCTTCCTCTCCTGGCAGCCATCAATTGCCAAGAGCTCCTCAGCGAGGGGTGGGAGCTTGTATGCCCCTCCTCCATCCCAAAGCATGAGTTTTATTAACTAAGAACAACAGTCTATTGAAACCTGGGTATCCTTTAGTAATAGACTTTTTTTTTTTTTAAAGACAAGGCCTGACCTCAAACTCACAGCCAAGGATGACCTTGAACTTTTGACCCTCCTGCTTCTACCTCCCAAGTGCTAGAGTTACAGGCGTGTGCACCTTCGTTAGCTGGAAATATCACCTTGCAAATAGCAACCAAACCATGACCTTGTTTATGTGAAATGTCTGTGGTTAGTGCACACAAAACCTTATTGAGATAGGCGATGTGGACAGAGTAAGGACTGGGTCAAGGGCTGAGCGGGGGCTTGGCATTATTGCTGACCTGGAACTCAGTGTGTTGTGTTCCTTGGCTGGATCAGTTCCTTTCCCCAGGCCCTGCTTTAAGTCTATGAACCGGGGCCAGATGGGTATCTCTAATGTCCATTTACTCTCTCACAGGCTTGGAGTGTCTGATTGCAAACTGTCTGGTAGAACTCAGCTACCAAGAACTTCCAAATCCTAACAGGCATTTGAGGGGTGGGGTGGAGGCAGAAAAAGGTCATTTAGCTCAGTGGTTAAGAGTTCAACTCTAAACATAAAAACAAAACAGCTTACAATTCCCCATAATCACATGGGAATCGGAAACATGAACAGCAATAAATGAATCACTGACAAAAACTACCGACGAGCCTTTCTTTCTACGATTCTTTATATCACAGTGTGTGAGTTTCCTGCAATGACTAAACTGACCACAACCTTGATGACTTAAGATGCAAATGTGTATGTGTCGCTATACAGTGGCTGGCAGGGCTCAGGGCACCCCCATAACTGGCTGTCCACGTCCCCCATAACTGGCTGACTGCGTCACCCATAACTGGCTGTCTGTGTCCCCCATAGCTGGCTGGCTGTGTCCCAAGTCACCTAGCTTCTGCTTCCATCCCTCTCTCTCCTGCCTCTTGCTTCTCTTATAAGAACTCTCAGGAGCTGGGCGGTGGTGGCACACGCCTTTAATCCCAGCACTCGGGAGGCAGAGGCAGGCGGATCTCTGTGAGTTCGAGACCAGCCTGGTCTACAAGAGCTAGTTCCAGGACAGGCTCCAAAACCACAGAGAAACCCTGTCTCGAAAAAACAAAACAAAAACAAACAAAAAAAAAACAACTCTCAGGTACCCTACTCTGGGGGATCCAATATAATCTACACACCAAGGTTTTAGGTAGCTAGTTAGACATCGGCAGGAAGTGGACCCCTCCCTCATAATTAGCAGGTGTAAAATTTAAAGGCTGGTGCCGCATGGCTAATTAGTGGTCTGAGGACTTGACTCATACCTTTGGCCATAAGAGGACATGTGCAATCTTGAACTCATACCCAGAAATAGCTCCCTAAACCTGGCCAGCACTAGCACTGGGAAGCTAAGCCTTTTATAAGAGTATTACAGAGCCAGAGGCTTTCTGATAAACAACAGAGATATCCTATCGACTTCTTGCATAAGTCTACCCAAGCAGGCCTGGCAATGGCTGGCAGGACGCAGAGACCCTGGGGAAAAGCTGTTTGTTTGACAGTGTCAAGGCTGGCCTAGAATATGCCACCAATGGTCCCTTTAACAGCTGTCCCTTCTCGTCCTTGAGAATGCCCACTTCATTCTGTGATCCCCTCCACCTCTCTTCTACAGTACACTCTGTGTCTCATCTGGATTATTTTGACAGAGACGGCAAGGCCCAGGGAGCCAAAGTTACTTCATAGAGACCCAGGAGCAGGGGGTGGGATAGATCCTGGTAGCATCCTCTTTTTCTTCTTGGTTTGTCTTCATGTGGCAAACCACGGATGTCTGTTCCTTGAGTTGAGACCATGCTGTTCCCTGTTCCTGCGTACTCAGAGCTCCCGTCATGGAGTGTGCTTCTGCACGGCCTGTCGGGTCTCCCTCACTTTCCTAGCTTAGATACTATATGCCTCGGTTCTCTTGCTCTTGCTACCCACACTAACCTGTCCTTTCCTGAAGGGGGCAGGAGTGATTTATGCTCATGTAATATTTCCTGGTTGTCCATATTGCCATGGGATAAGCCAATGCACTGGATTAAATGAGTCAATACTGGATTAAAGCGGTATCACCAGACCTCAGATGGTGCGTTCTCTTGCTTCTGAGGCACTCCTTTGGGGTGATGAGCACTGGATCCTGAGGAGAGCTTAAAGATGCCCCTGTGATCACTCGCCTCCCATACGTCGTGACCACGATGTGGTTTTCCTTTTTGGGTTTCCCGTGCATCACTCAGAACCATGGGAAGGAAATTCATAGCATACCTAAGAGAAGCAAGTGCACGTTTACTGTGTTCCAACCAAGGAAGATGAGTGGCTGTGTGAAACTTGGTTTCTGCCAGCCAAGGAAATTCTGGAGTCGGGCAAGTCACATTACACTTGGCTTCCAGGCTGCAGAGTGAAGGCTGGGGGGTGGCCCAATCATTCCACTGGTGTTTTGATGAGGCTCAGTGGAAGGATGCACTCCCCATGAGCACCTAGTGCTTTCTCTATGAGATGGATAACTCCCATTCAGTCCCTATGTGTTCATCTGGGTGGATAGAATACATCCATCGTAACTGCGACCTTAAAAATGGAAAGTTAACTTGGCCTGGGAGCTCAAGTTTTGTTTGTTTATGTAAACGGTTGGCCAAGTGTTCTAGAGTAATAATGAATGAATGAATGAATCTTGGCAATTTAAGTTAGATGTTAGTGTCACATGACCAATAAGCTTTAATAGCATCTTCCAGCTAGGTTTGTCTTGTAAAAAACAAAAAGTGGTCAGCTGTGTTTATTTTACTTTGGGGGGGGGGGGTGTTTGCTTGTTTTTAAGACAGAGAAAAACCCAGATGATGCCAGGGATTTATATAAAGGAAAATAAGCGAGAAAGGAAGCAGCAACTGTGAGAAAAAGTTGGACATGCAGAAACACATTTCTAGTTTTAAAAAGATATGGCAAAATACAGTTCTGTTCTACAAGGAAAGATTTCTCCAGAATGGAAATAGAGATAAGGTCAACACTAGGGGATGGTCTCAAGAAGGCCTGTGGCAGTTAAGACTGAAAGATGACTTGAAGAAGTTGGCTGTAATTAAAGGTTATTAAAAATTCCTGCCGGGCGGTGGTGGCGCACGCCTTTAATCCCAGCACTCGGGAGGCAGAGGCAGGAGGATCTCTGTGAGTTCGAGACCAGCCTGGTCTACAAGAGCTAGTTCCAGGACAGGCTCCAAAACCACAGAGAAACCCTGTCTCGAAAAACAAAACAAAACAAAAAAAAATTTCCTGAGGTCATGGACTGGGGGGAAAGCTCCTGGGGAAATTACTTGCTTAACAAGCGTGAGGATCTGAATTCAGATCCCCAGAGCTCCTGTGAAAACCACTGTAGTGCACATCTGTCATCCCAGGATACCTACAGCCGGATGGGAGGTAGACAGGGCAGACTCCCTAACTCCACACTGTCCAGCGAGGTGAGCGTTAGTTAAAGTCCACCTAGGCTCTGTGGCCAGTCAGCCGCATCCCAGCGTCACTGCGCCCGGAGCTCGTACTTATGGTTGCCCAGCTTTTACAACATCCTGAATATCAGGAAACGTCAGATGCGCTGTAAATCTGTGGTCTTCGAGGATAGTGACAGTTCAGATGGCTGTTTTAATGAAGGTTTTTATGATCATTCCAGTTCTAAGAACAGGTAAAACAGGCTGGCGTAGCTCTCGGGAAGAGTTCTCACTTAGCGCCTGCAAAGCCCTGGCCTGGGTCCCAGCACCTCCTGTCTACACAAGTCTAAGACAAAATCAACAAAATCAGTGCGTCTTAGATGTGAGAGCTGAGTCCACCTCCCAGAGTCCCTTCTGTGTGTCCCTTGGGTTTCTGGGCTTCTTGGTGGCTGAGAACTGCTAGATGGGTACCTACAGAGTGGGTGCCGGGGTGCGGGAGACTGGGGACGGAACA